CTGCACCTGACCAAGACCACGGTGCAGGTGACCACGGTCGGTTACGTCGAGCAGAAGAAGGAGCAGACGGAGCTGCAGGTGCTAGAGCTGGAGCTGGAGCCGGAGCCGGAGACGCTGGCAAATGGCAAGCCGGGCACCGTGTTGCATGCCACAAACAAAACAAAACAAATCCAGGCGCACAGCTACACGTCCACGCTGATGCTCAAAGCGGCGCCCGAATAGCAGCTGCTGCTCCCATATACACAAATCTATATATACTCCATATCCACACATTGGTGCTGGCTTTCATTTGAACCCCTCCCCTCGACCCCCTCGACCAACCTGTGTGCTCCGTGTGGCAGGCGCGACGCTCGTTTATCTTGATTAAACAAATACCAAAAACGAATATGTGTATTCGATATTAAAATTTATGTGGCGCGTTTGTTAATTGACTGCCCCCACACACACGCACACACAGACACACACACACACGCACACACACATAGACACAGACACATATACACACACACACACACACACACACACACACAGGTGTTGCAACAGGATTCGCTCTCAGCGCATCGAAACGAGAAAAGATTTTCGCCCATTTTCTTTTTCGTTTATTAAAATTTACAATTATTTTTTTTTTCCTTTTATTTGTGTTCTCTACATATATATACATATATATTATTTTTCCAATTTCCCTCGTATTTCTTGATGATATTATTGCGTTTGTATTATGGGGAAAAATTGTTTGGAAATTCGTAGAAAATGCTTTTTGTTTAGCCGCAAATTTGACATTGTTTAACTCTGTATTTGTATTATGAAATGCGTTTAACTGTATTCTAGGATGCTTAACTGTACATATCTATATGTTTATCAATAATAAATAAATAAAACTATTAACAAAATCGAATTGGAGCACGTAATACTTGATCAGAATAAGTCGCAAAGTGCTCTCTTGAAAAAAGCTCAAAGTGGATTACTTTAAGAATTTTCGCTACAATTTAATTTTTTACCTGTTTTTTTTGTAGAACTTTTTTCATTGCCAGGCTCTATGACGAAGCTAGTCGGGCAAAAATATCTCAATCAGACTTTTAATTATTTTTCTTTTCTTTTTTCTGGCCTCATAAAAGTCGGATATTATGTGCGTAATCCCCGGTCGTAGCCGGACAATAACACGTTATATTCTTCACGTGCATTTATTATATTTTCACGTGTGTTAAAACCTTTTATTTTTTATACCCTGTACCCATTGAAAATGTGTGAAACGGGCATATTGATTGTATATATATTCTCGATCAGCCTAGTTGAGCTAGACATGCTAGACATCTTAACGTTCGTCTGAACTCAAGGATCTCAGCAACTATAAAAGACTTGAGACTTGATTTCTTGAGAGTATGTCTTTCTAATGCCTGCGCAGTTCGAGTTTCTTTTCGATAATCGATAACTTGACCAAGTTTCTAAACAATCGATATCGAAATCCTTTTTTCAGGCAATCTTGACATGTATCTCCCAGAATAGTTTATTCAGATCAGCTAGATGAGTGTGCAGGGTATCTCCTAGTAGGGCATATTCTAGTGCAGCAGTCTTTGTTTTTGCTGGCTTTGTGTCCGGAAAGTGCTTTAAGAGCGCTGACAAATATTAATCGCCCCCCAGATATATTCTTCCTGCTCACTCATTTGTATTAAGCTGTCTCCCGCTCTCTCCCTACCGCTCTCTCCCTCCCTCTTCCACTCACCTCTCTCGCACTCTCTCTCTCTCTCTGCTGCTGCTGCGTGTGCGTCTATAAATCACTTAATGATTTTCCATATTGGTATTAAGTACCGTTAATTTTTATCGCCCTGCTGCAAGCATTGTGGCAATCGCGCCATATTTATTGCGCAAGCCGAACCTGAGCGCAATTCAGCAAAGTACCCCTCCGCTCCACTCCCCCCTTGAACTCCATATGTCCAGCTCGACGAGCAACGCTTAACTTGTAAAGCTCTTCATTAATTAGCCGACGAAATCGTTTTTTATCGAAAAAAAAAAACAGTCATACCCTGAAAATCCAAATAAATATGCTTTTGTTTTTAAATAATTTCAATAAATGTTTAAAGCTCAAACAATGAAATTAATCGGCTTGCAAAACCTTTGTTAAATGTTAAACAAATATCAATGCTATTTATTCTGTGCATAACTAATGCAAACTATGATTTAATACCATTTCATAGATTAAATAAAAACAATTGAGAGTGCTTTAGACGGAAGTGCCCGACTAGGGGATACCCTGCACGCTCTTCTAACCAGACAAGCAGACAGGGCTAGATCGTCTGGACTATTGATACTGAACAGGAATATATAAATATATATACTTTAAGGGCTCGGAGTTGCTCTCTGCTGCCTGTTACATACATTTGCACCAAATTAATATACCCTCTTTACACATTTTCAATGGGTATACGGCCAGAGCAGATACTCAGCCAAGGTTGCACTGTAAGAAAGTACAATGAAAAGGCATAAAAAAGTGTAAGAACATGTCTGAGCGTCGGACTGGCAAGCGAGCGGTCGCCAGTTCAAATTCTGTAATAATTTGATTGATTTTATTTGTTATCAAACATAAAAGAAAAGCAACAGTACGAAATGTTTTTTGTTTCTTTAATTTGTTGTTGAACACAAAAAGAAAGCAACAAATTGGTATGTTTGGAGAAGTCGCCAGCTCAAATTCAGCAACACTTTTAATAATTAAATATGTTCATTTGGATTGTTGTTAATTACAAAAACCTATTTTTACTTTCTAAATATGTTTATCTAGACTGTTATTAATTACAAAATAAAATGCAACAAGAATTCATATTGGGAGAGGTCGCCAGTTCAAATTCAACAATATTTTATAAAATTGTTTTTTTTTTTCTTACATTTTTCAAAATGCAACTTGTTTGATAAAAGATCTTTAGATATATTTATTTATAATTTACGGCTGATATTTTTCTTTGTTCTGATTTGAAATAATTGTTACTTTTACTGTAAATAATGCATATTCAAAATATTATTTGAATTCGAACGAGCTGCTCGAGCAAAACATTTGCTTTTATTAATTCATTTTGCTTTTCTCCATATTTTGTGATTGTTTTTATTGTTTCGAGTCCATCCATTTGGGCTTTTTATTTATGTATATTTACACAGCCAGCACTACGAAATACGGAATACGAAATTTGCATTAAATTTGCGCTCAAAGTTTTTATTTTGGCCAAATATTAAATGTATTTTGCTGAAATATACTCTGTAAATATTTACGCAAGTGCCAAAAGAAAAAAAAAAAGAAGAAAATGAGCGAAAATGTTTGCATACTTTTTGCCACAGTCAGAAAATGTAATTTGATGGCAATTGCTGCGTTTTAGCCGCCAGACAAAAATGTTTGTTACATTGTAATTATGCTAAAAACCGTAAAAACAATAACAAAAAAGCAGTTAACCAGGCTAAAACATGCATAAATATGCTTGAACAAGCGAAAGCCGCAAACTATTCGAATACACTACAGAGAGAGAAACAGAGAGAGAGAGAGAGGGAGATATATTTGCTGTCAACGCGGCGAAGCCGCAAAATTATTTGCGAGTCGCATAAACCCCGAAAAATGTAGAAAAGCACTTGCTATGCACAAATGTGTGGGCCATAATTACTTTATTTCATTTGCATAATATAGCGTAAATGCTTTTGGCTAACATTTGCATTTACAGCTCGGGCACAAACAGCTGCTGGCCGGGCCAAGTCCGGGCCGGCTACTGGTTCGGTCTGGCAAAGAGTCATTTGGGCTGTAAAATCTGCATAAATACCTGGCCACAATTTGGCATCACATCAATTACTTTGAAATTATAACACAATTATATATGTACTACATTTGTACAGACTGGAGGCGGCAGCGGGGCCGAGTTGGGAATCTGTTGGTCCTGTGGTCCTTTGGCCTAATTATGTCTGCCATATGTCAAATGCCATTTTGATAACAGCAACTGTGCATTAAGCCTGTTTCTGAAACACCCCCCCTCTCCTTCCTACCTCGGAAAACTCTAAACTAAAACCTTAAACAAATATTCTGTTAGAGCTGGCTTAATATTACTCTAAGCACGAGCACGAAACGAAGTGTGACTAAATGCTGTTTTCTTAATAAGATACTTGTTTTTACTACAAAATACCAGAATAACTAGCTGCGTGTGTGATATATATTAAGCACGAGCACGACACAAACACGAACACGAGCGCGATTCTTGGAGCCGATTTTGAGTGCGCAGCTTAATATCTTTAATTTATCAACAAATTTTGTGTATCAACACATATTTTGTCTCATTGATTGTAATATGTAATTTATAATTTGCTTCAATATTTCAAATCAGCTTTTCGTTTAAATGTTTTTCCTACACGAACATGCACGCAATTCGTGCTCATCTCTGGCTCTTTTTTTTGTCTGTCCCACAGCTTGTTCTTGAATTGTGTTAAGTGACATCTCGTTCAGGTCAGTTAGTTGAGCAAACGCACAAACAAACAACGAAGCTGCCCGAACTCCAGTGGCGCCCAAAGGCCCCAGAGCCCCAAAGTCAGACGTAGTATATTGATTAAAATAATGATTTGTGTCGCTGGGCGGAAATTTAATTTTTTCTGTAACGGATATTAATATATATATATGTATTGTATGTGTGTGCATTTCTCTCTATCTCTGTGTGTGTGTGTCTGGTCCAGACCTTATTTACCTTGTGCGTGTTTGGTTTAAAACTTTTTCGGGCCATTGGCAAAGTTGTTGACATTTGGCCAATGCGGCAATGCCAATGCCAAGCGGGCTTTCGCCTCGGGGGGCGTGTTGAAAGTAAATGAAGCGGGCGTCAATTGCATTAAATTTAATGAATTTAAAGCGGTTCAACAAAATGCGGCAATTTATTATTAAATGATTGACACACAACTGATTTGCATGATAATCAACTTTTCTCTCTTCGCTCTTCCTCTCCCTCTCCCTCCCCCTCTCCCTATCTCTTTTGTCGTTATCTGTGCGGCAGGCATGTCCTTTCAGCGCAGCTACAGCAAGGTCTGGTGGGGCTCCGATAGCCAACAGCAGACGGGCAGCAACAGCAACAGCATCAGCTTCACCAGCGGCGGCCTCTACTCGCATTACAATTACAAAGTCGTCAACCAGCAGCTGGCACAGCAACAGCCACATCCACATCCACAGTCACAGCAGCAGCCCGCATCGCTGGACAGCGCTCTGCAGCGGCATCTGGGCCAACAGGCTGGCAATTTGTCCAGCATACAGGAGGTGGACGATGAGCAGAACAGCTCCAAGATGTCCTGGCACAAGCACGACAGTCCCGGCAGTCTGCGCAGTCAGGTGCGTTATCAAAATATGTGTATATATATATATATTTCAGCAGATTTAGCGCGCGTGTTCCCAATTTCATAAACGAAGTTATTTTCTAGCTAGGGAATCCGCGTTCCATTTCCTTATATTCCGTTTTTAAAAAACATTTTTGGTTCTTTTGTTCATGTGGTTTCCTCCATTCCATTCCAATGTTTCTGTTTCCTTTCTACGATTTACTGCTTAATATTCAACGAGATTCGTGTTATATTTCCATCCATTTCCATTCGTTCAAGCCACATTTTAGCATTTTTTTTTGTCACTTTATCTTAGCTGATGTTTCATTCCAACGTTGCAGCTAAATTATCCTCATTATCTGTTTCTTCTATATCACGTTTCTTACTTTTCTTGTTTCATTCCAACGTTCCTTTCCTTTGCCTTGCCCGTTCCATTCCAACTCGTTCCATATGCGTTTCACAACACTTCCGCCAAATGGAAACACGCCCAATTAACGTTATCTTTGCGCTAATATCTAAATTTTTGCCTACTTTTGTTTGATGCACCCGCAGGACTCGGGCTTCTCGGACAATGAGGAGCATCACAATAGCCAGACGGCAACTGCTGCGGTTGCCACGGATGGCGGTACGCCCAGTGCCTCGCCCACATCGTTGCGTTCGGTGGCCACGCCGCCCACTGTCATACGCCGCGTGGGCAACTCGTCCTTCTACTCGCCGCTGGTCAGCGTGACGCGTCGCATTTCCTTTAGCGGCCTGCAGACGAGCCAACAGACAGCTGCGGATGGCGATCTGGAGGAGCTAGAGCTGGAGGTGAGTCATAGTCGCCTGTTTGTGCAACTGGATAGCATGCAGCTCGACGAAGATAAGCAGTTGACTATCAATCCGGCCACGCCGCCGCGGCCTGCAGTGCGAAGACGCAAGCGTCTGGCGCGCAAAGCCGCCAAGCTGGCGGCCGAGGAGGAACACTCGGCCAGCGATGGGGAGACGCCCATAACGCCGCCGCCGCCGTACAACAACGAGACCGTGTACTTGGGTGAGGCGCCGCCGCCCTACAACAACGAAACGGTCACCTTTGGCATGGAACAGCAGGAGGAGAAGGAGGAGGAGGAGGAGCCGCTCTCGCCGCTGCGCAGTCGCTTCACGGCCAGCACCAGCACGCCCAAGGCGCGCGGCAAACCCAAGCCCAAGCCCAAGTCGAAGCCGGCAGCTCAGCTGCAGGCGGCGCACAGCTGGCGCTCGGAGCAGCGCTGGAACTGTGAGCCGGAAGTCATGTGCATGCTGCAGCACAAGTCGATTGCCCAGGAGGCGTACAAGAACTACACGATCACGACCAGCGCAGTGGCCAAGCTGATGCGCCAGCTGCAGCAGCAGGCGCTCCAATTGCAGTCGCACTTCGAGCGCTGCGAGCGCGTGCTGAGCGGCACGCAGACCACGACGCTGCCGGAGGCGCTGGCGGGCGCCACACAGCTGCTGCTGCATCTGGAGGAGTTCACCAGCGTGCTGGAGCGTCGCAGCATCTTCTTCAATGATGCGCGCGTGGAGCGCCGGCGCTATGAGCAGCATCTGGAGCAGATACGCACGGTGGGCAGGGACACGCGCTATTCGCTGGAAAGGCAGCACTATATCAATCTGGAGTCGCTGCTGGACGATGTGCAGCTGCTCAGGCGGCATACGCTGATCACGTTGCGGCTGATCTTTGAGCGGCTCGCTCGCATTCTGGTACTGGCCATCGAGCAGAGCCGCTGCGATCTGCTGCTGCGCGCCAATATCAATATGCTGGCCACGCTGATGAACATCGATTACGATGGCTTCGGCTCGCTGGCGGATGCTTTTGTCCAGAACGAGGCTGTGCGTGCCTTGCTGCTGATCGTGCTCGATCACAAGCTGAGCTCGGTGCGCGCTTTGGCCCTGCGCGCTCTGGCCACGCTCTGCTGTGCCCCGCAAGCCATCGCCCAGCTGGGCACCTGCGGCGGCATCGAGATTGTACGCGACATATTGCAGCCGGGCGGCGGCGGCAGCCAGGAGCGCGGCGCCATCGAACGACGTGAGGCCGTTTCGCTGCTTGCCCAAATCACGGCCAGCTGGCATGGACCCGAACATCGTGTGGCCGGGCTAAGAGACTGCGCCGAGACTCTGGTTGCCGGGCTGGCGGCTCTGCTGCAGCCGGACTGCTGCGAGCAGACGCTGCTGCTGTGCGCCGCAGCACTCAACAATCTAAGCCGCATGGAGGTCACCTCGCACTACTCCATCATGTCGAACGAGGCCATCTTCAAGCTGATTTCAACGCTCGAACATCAGGGCAGCGGCATCAGCGTATTTCTTTATGTAAGTAGCTATTTGCCTAAAGGGCGACAGGGCTGGCAGGCAAATATGCTGAGTGTGGAACTAGTGTGTGAACTAGCTAGGAGAGGTATCCATTATGCCTGTTCCTAACTGAACTAATATGTGAACTACTGGTTCTTTCTGAGAATTTTCCAAGAAACTTGCACTGTTAATCAAGTCCTGGTGGAGCCTTCAACCCAAAACTCAGTGTGGTTAAATATACTTAGGGTTCAAACTGGAACTGGTAGCCCGTGGAACTAGTGTGTGAACTGGTATGTGAACATCTCATGCGTTCACGTCCATTCCTTATATTGAGCTTGCATATTATTAAAGTCCATTTCGTTTTTCAACATAGTTAATTCATGCTGGCGAACTGGAACTTTTTCAAACTGTGATTCCGCACTTGGTTCCATTTCAGTTCCTTTTCCGAATCTGTTACATTCCTGCTTTAGTTTAGTTCGAATTCTGATTGAACTGGTTCCATTTCGTATTGTCGATGTCATTTGGATTCATTTCCTTTGATAATGTTATCCCTATGATAATCACTTTGTATTCTCAGATAGCGTTAATATCAAATTTGGGAATAAATTGCAGCAATATTTGGAACTAGCTGTTTACACTAGTTTCATTCAGCGATTGTTCAGCCCTGGTCGTGAGCAATTTTATTGAAAGCATTGCTTGTAGCTCGTAAAATTTATTTGTACATTTGCAAAGCAATTTTTTCACAATCTTGGCCACGATTTTTCATTTTACTTTGGCTCAGCAAATACACCCAACACACACACTAGCACACACACACTGGCAGATTGACTGTCCGCTGCTTGTGAGCAATTTCCCTCTTTTTATTTTGCTTTATTTTTGTTGCTCATCAACATTTTTTGTGTCCCTTTATCGTTGTGCACACACACAGGAACAAATCGTTGGGATGCTGCACAACATGTCGCTGAACAAGAAGTGCCACAGCCACTTGGCCAATGGCATCATCATAAATTTCATCACGTCCGTTTACCAAACGGAATTCTACAAGACCTACGACTCACGTGCCGAATGCGATGCCCAGCGGCGCAGCATTAAGGCGATACTCTATACGCTGACACGACTCGTCCAGGACTCGCATCAGCTGGGCGCCGAGCTGCTGGAGCAGTGGCATCTACCGGATTTGCTGCGACAATCCCTCGCAGCGGCAGCGCCCGCAAATGCCGGACGCTCGTCCAGCTCTGGCCAGTTGGATCTGAGCGCTGGCTACAGCGGCGACATTTCGCATCTGGCGCGACAATTGCTCCAAGCACATCAGCGGGAGCAGCTGCTGTTGGGTGTCGATGTGGGCGTGGGCGTGGCCGATGGGTCAGCATTTAGCAGCAGCCACCAGACGCCCGAGGCTCAAGCAAGCAGCAGTAGAAGGACAACAAGGACCTTGCCGTCGACGACGTTGAAATTGAATTTAACACGTCAGGAGAGTTTTGTCTAGTTTTTGGTATTTTTTTTATTTATTTTTTTGCAAAACCACCTGAGTGGCTGCGTCTGGGGCACGTTCCGTTCGGTCCGAACGTGCATCAAGTGTTATTGCTTGTCTGGGCACTGCGTGACCCATTTTTCCCATAGATACACAAACACACACACACACATCCTGCTACGATACTTATCCTTAGCCCAGCTTGTAAATGTAAAACGAAGTAATTTTTATATTTTCGACCAAGCAAAAGGCATAAGAAATACAAATTGTTGTTCTATTATTATTTTGTTATTTTTTTTTTTTTTTTTTGTGGTACTTTGTACATTTTTGTTTTGACAACAAAAGTGCTTGAAAAGTGCATTGCTCTCTCCCTCTCTCCCTGCCTCTCTGACTCACTTGTAAATTTTTGTAGCATTTTGCAAGCTCATTGTAAATATTTTCATACGGCAGTAAAAACCAAAATTTATATTTTTAGTCAATTATGTGCCAAAAATAAGTAGCCAAAATTCCAGCAGTTAATTTTGGGCGATTCCATTGTACAGTTAGATATATATATATATATATATATGCTATATATGTTTAAATATAAATTTAGTTTTAAGAAGATTATCAAAAGACGAAATAACTAAATGATGTACTTGGCGTCGCTTTTCTTTCCACATGCCGCCAATATTTCCCTTTTCATTTCTTTGCTAACGATAAAAATTTCCATGAATAAAATTAATTACGTATACGAAATGTAAATGTCGCTTTTTATTTAAATATTCCCGAGTTTTTAATGCTTTGCTGCGCGTGTGTTAATAAAATATTTGTACTAATAAATTAGCTTGCAGTTGAAATCAATTTTTGCCAGCGAGGGTAGCTTGAGAAGTTGCAAATATGAATATTTGCCAAGTATAAAATTGGCCCAGATACTAAAAGCTGTGACTCGAGCTGACCTCTGTGCCAACATTAGGCACACATGCATAGAATCAATATTGATTTTGGGCCAAAAACTCTGAAAATTTACATTGGAAATGTCGTCCAGAATTGATTTCGTTGCTTTCTGGTCAGCACTCAGGTCCATTAGCGAAGTCATCTGCAAGCGGACGGCGGGGATTGCAATGATCACATCTTGGACATGGCAAATCCTCTGATGCAATGCAAATCACAGCTTACAAAGAGAAAGATGAAGAAATTGACAAGAAGCAGCTGCTTAAAAGCCATATACATGTGTCTACAAAGATACACACACACACAGACACACACACAGACACAGGCACACACACATGCACGAATGTATAGAAACTATTCAAGTGAAAGCTAAAGCTGAAATGTATGCTACAACAAATACTGCCCACACTCACTCGCAGCTTCCCACATAAATTCCGGCTAGCTAAGATGTCAAAAAGCGCGCCTAGCCCTTACCCAGGGACCGGGCCGGGGGGTGGCATTGGGGCTTTTGGGCAGAGCTTGGGGAAAGCAGCATAAACAAGTTCTTTAGAGTAGATTGAAGTTATTTAATGTCGGCATATTTTGCATGGCTGCGTCCAGAATGGGCGTGTGTGTGTGTGTGTGTGTGTGTGTATGTGTCAGAATCTTTTAGAAATATGCCACACACACGGGCACACACACACACACATGTACACACATGCAGGATTCTTGAGTTTTGTGAGGTTTGTTTGCATCATTTCGAATGCCAGACTCGAAGAGAAAGCGGGCAAGTGTTGCGGCATTTGATGGCAAAGCCCGTGAATGTGTGTGTGTGTGTGTGTGTGTGTGTGTGTAAGTGTGCGCCTGTGCGTGTGTGCTGTAGTGTGGCCATATTATGACAAGTATGGCTGACATTTGCTGTAAGCGGCAGCAGCAGCAGCAACAGCAGGAACAGCATTTAAAGCGACGACCCATTGACCTCGGCTCAGCGCTAAGCACGTTTATCGTGCGCGGCTTATCTATATATCTCTGCATAGGTATAACAACAGCAACAACAACAACAACAACAGCAACCACAACAGCATGAAGCATAATGTTAGCTGCGTGCTGCTCTCATGATTTTTACAGCATTTGCTGGCGCTGCGACAGGAAATGCCTTTAGTGATTTCCGCATGTGGCCGCTGCTGTAAGCCACGCCCCCCGCCCGCCCTGTCCATCACCTAAACGCAGAGCATATGCTGGCTGACACATATTGTGCGTGTGTGCGTGTGTGTGTGTGTGCGTGTTTATGAAATGTGTGTTTTCCGCTTTTTATGCTCGCTCACAAAGCAAAAGGGAGTATATTGGTTTTGTGACATGTTCGTCTGCCCTTCGAATGAACGCATTTGGAGACTGGAAATTTGTTACATATACTCAAGAAGAAGTCAGGATGGGAATGTTATATCCTGTTTAAATACAAGTGCTTGTCCTTACTGAAAAAATCGGAAGACTTAGAAAACAGGAAATCTTACTAAAGCTTCCATTTGGGTCTTAATAAAATAGGATTTCTTAAAAATTCAACCTCAAGTGCTTTGCAAACGTGGTGTTATGAGCCTGTCTGGCTAAGTTTTCCTGGCGTTGAACTAGCCGGCGAGAAGTCGCTGGTTCAACTTCAGCGGAAATTCGATGTTTTTAATATATATTTAAGGGTATCAAGCAGTTGTTTACTCCCGACAGCAATTCACTTCCTTTTACGCTTTATATATATTTTTTTGTACTTTACATGCCGCACTTTAAACTGGCAAAGCTTGAGCCAAAGCCGCATCAAAAATTCATGGCTAAAATGTAAACAAGCTAACGATTTGCGTGTAGCCAAAGCATGAAATGACTGGCACTTGTCCGTGTTGGAGGAAGGCAAAGGGACTGGTGGGGAGGGGCAGAGGGGGGGATCTGAACTGTGTCCTAATTAAGGTACCAGCTACTAGTCGCTGTGGGAGGGTAGGCAAACAGGCAAAGGCGCAGTCAATGCCGCAACTTAGCGATAACTGCTGAACAACAGAAAACCAGTTGCCAACTTTAGGACTGTCAACAGCTAAAATGCCGTTAAAAGTTGCAAGTTGCAAAGCTGAACTCAAGTTGCAGCTGGCAGGTGCAACAATGACAGCAGCAACAACAACTGCGAGCAGAATTAGGTATGCCACGAACTGACTTTACACTAGCAACAGCAGCAGAAGCAGCAGCAACAGCCCTTAACATGTTGCATGCCACAATGGAAATGATGTAGGGATTACAGAAATCTCAGAACTATAAACCACATATAAGCACATTAGCTTCATTTTATTAGACTTACACAGAAAAAAATGCGGCTGCTTGGTTAAGGAGGCTATTAAAATAGAAGTGGTAGCTGAACAGAACAGAACAAAATAAGTGTGACCACATTTCAACATGGCGCTTAACTCGGGAGTTCTTATCTGGGGTCTTTCGTTTGAGGTCAGATGGGTGGGCGAAAGAAGTACGAGGGGCACAAGAAATAATTGTGAAATGGTCGCGTGGCTCAGACTTGCATAATCGATCAAATTATCGTTGTCAAAAATCGTTAAGCTTCTATTGATAGAAATCTATAATAAATTTCATGTTGCTATCGAAAAGCGCAGATAATAGTTTCTTGCGCACATCAATAAAGTTTTTAAAAGTATTTTTGACAATTAAAGAAATATATATTTAGCACTGTTCTCGAAATCGTGGAGTTTTGCTGTATTGCAATCAACAATTATCGATAACATTATCGTGGCAAGAACTTCCTATCGACGTAGTCAAGGAAAAAGTTAGGCACAACATTTTATATCAATAATTATTACTTATTTTCCGATAACACTAAAGAAGTAGCTAATCGAAAATAGTGCAGAAAATAATATTATAAATAATTGAAAAAATAATTAAAAAAGAAAAAATTGAAAGGAAAATGTTTTACCTTTATCTTGACTTTATGCTTATCAATAAAAATATTATTATGGTCAAAATCGAAAGATTTGCAATTTTTTAATTGGGCAATAAAGAATCCGTGTTTAACTCTGGCATTAAACGAAATAGTTAACAAAAGAAAACAGTTTTGTGTCATGCTGAAAATTAAAAAATTATATTTAAGCTGCTTGAAAATGTATTTAAGAGTCCACTTGAATCTGCTATTAGCCTTACTTACAGCCCAAAAGCTTCAGCTACAGGTAAGTGCCGAAAATGATGAGAAAGTCATTAGGCTCCGCGCAGGACTACATTCTAATAGGGGGTATAACTTTTAAGGGCCGCTCAGCTTGCAACAACTTGAGCATAGGCACTTGCTGTGTGCGCAGCACTTCATGAGAGCAGGTGAGCGGGGGAGGGGGGGAGGGGGAAGGCAGCTGCACTGAAACGCAGTTTGGCGCTGGTTTAACGGACAGACAGGCGGGCAGACAGGCGGTCTTATCAGCTGCCACAGGGGTAACATTTTATTTTATACACTTGCCGCAGTTGCTGCCACAACAATTAGGTTGAGAAGGGGCGGGGTGTTGCCTGAATAAGCGCTGGCTTTTGAGAAGCTTTCGCTTATGGCTCTGTAAGTCAGACATTGAGCTACATTTTGATGCGGGGGCCGTAAACGAGTTGTCATTATTAATGCCAGAGCAGCGACTCAGACAACCATGCCCCCCCCCCCCTCTGCACCACCACCACGCCCATCAGCTGGCCAATAAAGCAGCGGCATTATGAACTGCCACAAAGTAGCGCAGAAGGCCACAGTGCGAATGTTTTCGCAGTGCGTAGCGAGTGGGATTGCGTATACGCAATGTGGTCGCACACAAATTACAGATCGTGTGTGTGTGTGTGTGTGTGTGTATCCCCTGGGCATGCCACATAATGCCAAAGCTGCCGTTGGTCTCAGCCAAATGCGAATCCTTTTGGTATTATTATGCGATTATTAGCCAATATTTTATTTGCGCTCGTTTTTCTTCTTCTTGCCGTGGGTTTCGGCAAACCCAGGCCCTCCGCCATCACTTTTGGCCGAAGCTCATAAATTTTTATTTGCTGTAGCAAAGGGTTGTAAGCAGCCGCCATTATGCTTGCTTTTAGCTTTTATTTTGGCCATGTAGCAGACGTGCACAACATGCTCCACACGGGGCCAACTCACACAGACTGACAGCGCAGCGGGGGAGGGGTGAGAGTGAAATGAAGGGAGGGCGGGGCGGGGGAATTTATGGGCGCAAATTGATTGCAAGTGCATAAAATGTACGCCAGTTGAAAGTCCGAATTTTGGCTGAAGCAGAAAGTTCTGCGCCGTGCAAGCATAAACATAAAAAATAAAAAGTAAAATAAAAAACTGCCAAAATGCTTTTAACAGCAGCTGCGATTGGGCCCCAC